TAACGATGCTGCTAGTGTTGTTGTTATTTTTGTTTCTTTTGCAGTCTTGCTATGCTGCATTTGCACTTTGAGCTGCGCTATGCGTTTCAAAACTTGAAATATGCACGTCTCAGGCATTTGAGTTGCCAACAAGTTTTATGACGCTTTTGAAAATTCTAAAACTTTTACACCCACCCGCCGCTTCAGTGTTGTTGTTAAACTGTTATTTACTGTTTTCTCCACCTCACCTTTGCATATCAACATTGCATCTCTGGGTGATGTGTATGTATGTATTTATATGAAAATTGCGTGCAAAAATCTGGCCAAAATCTGGCTACGCGACTTTTGCACGTTTCCCCAGCGCAAAGCCGAACAAAATTATGTGCTTTTAACACGTTCATTTGTAGGTAAAAATTAAAATAAAAACACACAAATGCACAGAGTTTCAAGCGTCAACAGCAACTTAAGACTCAAATATGCAAGAATGCATAATTAATGCAAGGGAAATTGAAAAACTGTTTTTAGAGATTGCACTGCAAGAAAATCTCATTCCGCACTGCCTGACACTCATTTATTTTCTTTCCATTTCTACACTGCATTTTGTTCTATTTTTACTTAGCTCTTGTTGATTTTCTTTCTTTGCCTTCCCTAAACACTCATATTCTGCCGCTTATCAAAAGTTTTGAATCTCTTTTTGCTTAGAGCTGAGCGTGTGGTCGGATGCTTTGCTCAGTTTCGACCGTCAATCAACGAGTTCTTTAGTCTGTCAACTGATTTAATGACTTCCGCTTATTTGTTGTTGTGAAATGTGTTAAGTAGCTTTGACGGAGAGGAAAATGTAGCTAGACTTTCGCTAAGAAAACATCAAAATGGGAGGAGATCGAAATTTGTGCCATTAGGAGAGCATAGTTTTATAAGGTTAACCTTTCCCTGGTTGCACACCGCTTCATTTTGACATCTGCAATACTTTGGCAGCAAACCAAAGATTTTCTGGTTTAGTTAAAAGTCATTTGTTTATGAAAATGAATTGCCTAACAACCGGCTATAGCGTTAAAATTGTTCATTGGTCGTAGGATAACCGACTTTTTTTGGCCGGCAATCGAAGAACACTAAGGGGGGTGAATGTGGGTTGCCACACTCGAGCGAATATGGCTTTACTGCGAGAGAAAGAAGGAATTCGATGAAAAAATATTTGAAATGCATTTTATTTATATTCGCTTTCTAAACCGCAAAATGGATAACTCTGTATATAAAACTCGCTTAACAGAGATAGTTTTGTCAAAAATATTTACGAAGTCGGTCGCCCCTCGGCAGGGAATGTTATCCCCCCGTATGTATTTATGTCCTGAAACGAAGGCTTCTCATAAAAAACCATCAGCCGTTGGGAGGCTGTTGTAGGTCCCTTCATATGTTCGAAAAACCTCAAAAGGCAAAAACAAGAAATTGGAGGAGGACCTCGGCCGAAGTGATTTTACCAAGAATGTTACTATTATTTCTTAGTCTTATGAGACTCTTAAAAAGGTATCTAATTAAAATCTTGATTGTTAGACTGCTATTTTAACTTTTTTCCTTAATTATGCATATTTCACTGATTCTATAAAAATTGTAGTCACATCCTAAATAACTCTAGTTCATGATCATGGATTACGAGCAACAATAACTAATAATGAGCAGTGACAAAAGGTATGCATTAATACAAACAAGAGTCGCAATAAGTGCCCTGTAGGCGAAATTGCCGAAAAACTAAATATGCTTGATCATTGCAATCATTAGATTATTAAGAGACTAAAAAACTTTCTGAGATAAATTCAGCATAACATGGTTAAGAATTACAAGCAATGCTTAAACGAATTTTCTCTACTTAGCATGCTCTCTCTATTTTCAACACCATACGCGCTCTTGAGTGTAACTTCTGCAGTGGTGAGTTCAGTTTATTCACAAACAAGTATGCTGCTGGCTATGCGCTCATGAGATCTTGCATTGGAGTACTTTCTTATGCCTTTGAGCTGCTTTTAAAGGTAGAAAAATATATTCTGTAATATTTATTGCTTAGATTATTAGAAATTTTCAATGCACTTTTGAGGCTTGGGACTTTTTAGAAAATTTTCGATAACTTCGTTGGGCAGTTCTCATAAGAAACGCTTGTCTGCCCGCAATCAGTGAATTAATTTTTGTCGAATGAAGATTTCCTTTAAAGAAAAGTTAGAATCAGAAGTGTGATAAGTAGGGCAGGCGTAAAAATTAGAAAGTCAATAAAATTTGAATTTAGGTTGAAAATTAACGCTGCGAAAAAGAAAAAAAAAAATAGCAAAATGTAAAAAATAAAACAATAAAATAAAACGTTCAAAAAAAATTTACACTTTCAAATCTCAATATCAATTTCTAGACTTCTTCATTACAGGCGAAATAAGACAAATACAAAAACTAGCACAACCGGCTTCCATTAACCGGTCTCACACGGCATCTCTATATACCAAAAAAATAAAATAAAAAATAAAAAATAAAAATAAATATATAAAAGAAAAAAGATAAACAAAAAAAAATAATAATTTAGCACATCGATGAATAAAAAAAATATTTGTCTAAGCCAAAAACACACTCACGCATATTCTAAGCACTTGCAAAAGATAAAAGTAGATAAAGAAACTCACACTAAAGAGATGACACAGTTAAAAAAATATAAAAATTTTCAAATTCAACACTGAAAAATTGTTTAACAAAAAAACCAGTTGCTAATCACTTTACTAATTCTCTGCAAAAATCGCCCACGTCTCCCCAAAGCATCTCGAAAACTCAACAAATTTCAATGAACAACATTAACTACTGGTTATCAGCAACAAAGCAACACGTCAGTGAAAAAACCGGGTGAATATAGATACAAATGCATATACATGTATGTATGTATGTAGATATTAAGAAAGTTAAGAAGCGTTAAGAAATTGAGGTAAAAATATAAATCGGGCATTAAATACAAAAAAAAAAGAAAATAAATGTGTAATGAAAAAAATCAAGATGTGCGCAGAGAAAAACACAATAACACAAAACCGGTTTTGTAAAAGACACGACTGAGTCTAAGCAAGTCAGCGACGGTGTGTATTTGCCACTGAGTTGATTAAAAGAAGTTCGCTGTTTGTTGCTTGAAGTTTCTTCGATGGATTTGGCCGCTTGTTGGTTTGCTTGCGGCATTTCAAATGTTTATATGTATCTCAGTACGTGTGTAATGTGTGTAAATGCAGCGCTTATCAGTGATTTTGTAGAAGAATAAAAAAATTTAAAAAAAACTTAAAAAAAAAAGAATTAAAAAATTTAGATACTCATTTGGCAGCAGTGCTAAACGACTAGAAGACAGTTAAAAACTTTACTTTGTAAAAGAAAGCGTACATGGTGTACTTAAAAGCTAAATAGCTGCTGGCGGCTGATTTTTAACAGCCACGTTAAAACAATAAGAATATTAACAGCTTTGATAACACAACAAATTTGAGGTTTTTGCTGGTGTATTTAAAGCGTGTTTTTTAATTTTTTTTTTGTATTTTTTTTTTTTTTTTTGTTAACTTTATTACACTTTAACTTTCACCTTTGTGTGTCAGCAACAACAACAAAAAGCAAATGCACTAAAATAATGGCAAAAAAAAGTGCTTAAGGCTGCCAATGGATTAAGCTCGTTTAAATATACATATTTATATTACAACAAAAAATTGTGGAAACGCGTTAATTGCTGCCTTCTGGTGCATATTGTGGCGAAAAGATTTTATTTTTTTTAGTTATTAATCATTAATTAAAATTAGTTATAGATTTTTGTGATTTTTTATTTAATTATTTTTGAACAATTCTTACTTATTAATCGTTAACAATAAATTGTATTGGATTTGTAATGAATTTGTCATTATTTTTTTCATAATTTTTGCATATTAATTATTTTATATTTATTACTTATTATTTACAAAATTTTAGTACAACTATTAAAAAATTATATATTATAATTTTTGAATAATTTTAATTATTAATACCTAGTTTTAAGTATAATAAGATTGAGTATAAATTTTTAATATAATAATGAATATTTTTTAATTATTAATCACAAATTTTAAGTATTATAAGATTGAGTATGAATATTCATTTTATTATTTTTGAACACTTTTTACTTATAAATCATTAATTTTAAGTATTATAAGATTTAGTATGCATTTTTATTTTATTTTTGTTGGATAATTTTTTTAGTTAAACATTTTTTAACAGATTACTATGAATTTTTTTCACTATTTTTCATAATTTCTTTTTTTTTTTAGATTTTTAATGATATTTTTTCATTATTTTTTTTATTAGTTTTTATTTATTAATCATTAACTATTAATGATGTATTAAGAATTTTATTTTGAATGCATTTTTTGTAACTTTCTTTTATAATTTTATTAGATTTTTTATAGATTTAATTATTAAAAGGAAAATTTTTAAGATTTAATTTCATTATTGTTTCATAATTTTTCCATATTAATCATGAATAAACAATTTTAATAGATTTATTATATTATGAATTTTTTTTCAATGAATTAATTTTTATTTATTTATCAATAATAATAGTATTTTATTTTATTATTTTTATATTTATTTCACATATTAATCATTAATACTGAATAATAATTTCCATATGTGAATTGTTGTTATTTTCATATGCAAATAAATTTTTTTGCAACTTTTATTAATTAAATTATTGTAAAATCATCTCTTACAACAACTTTCTCAAAATGGCACACAGGTTTTTAATTTACTTTTTTTTAAACCAAACCATGCACATTTCACTTTTGGCAAACACTTGCTTTCATATCCAAATCACAAACCAGCCTGCCGCGTAAACGCCTTTTTTAAATTTTTATTAAATAATATAAACTATAAACTAATTTCAATGAATTTTTTTTCCTTTCATTTAATTATATAGTAATATGTGTTTTCTTTAATTTTTATTATTTATTTCATTTTCCAATATTTTTGACTTGCTTACAGCATCTTTTCACCAACACACTTACTTTATTTTGCCTTATTTCTGCTGCGAAAAATCATTTTGCTCTTTCCTGTTTTATTACACCCGCAAAACAAGTAGCAAAAATCTTTTCTCATTCGTTCGAATAAATTTTTTTAATATTTTCCGTAATTTTTTTTTCTTCTTTCTGCTTTACTCAGCGAAAGCGCTGCTTTGTGGCGTCCGCTTTCTTTTCCGCTTCCTTTTTAGTCAGCAGCGGCATAAAGACACACACAAACACAAGCACACAGCTTATTTACAATATACTTGTATATATGTATGTAGGTATGATTATATACTCGTATTTATTGACACTTTTAGCTACACTTGTTTGTAAAATTTTTCAGTTGATATTTATTTTTTTAATATTTATTTTCGATTTTACCACAACACTTTTGATTCGCGCACGTAGCAAGCGTATATGTTTTTAATTTCGCGTAAATATGTATATGCCTCAAGTCGCTATTTGAGGATACGCACAGTAAATTCTTTCACACAGTAAAACCGCTTTTTCCCTACCGTCACTTAAGTTTTGATTTTCTGTCGTTTCAACGTCAATTGAACTGAATTTCACTGCGCGGTTATCCGCTACGTATTCCAACACCTTCTGCAGTTTTCCGGCGACTGTGATTGTGCTACTGACTTTTGTTTGACTGTTGCTATTTTACGTTGGCACCGGTGCCATTGAGCTCCAGCAATTTTCTTACAATTCTACCTTGCGAATTCGCCGCGCGAACATGTTGTACGGTGTTGGGGGTCAAGCGCGTTGCGTGGTGTTCGTACCGTCAGTGTTGGAAAATTGGATAAGAACGAAATTAGGGAATAAATAAATTTAAAATAAAAATAAATAATAAAAGTATTTAATTTTAATTTGATTATCTTATATATATATATCTATATATATAAATCTAAGGTACGTTTGTAAAGATGCACATAGTGACCGATTGACCTAAAATTTCGTCAGACTGCTGCTATGCTTACTGAGAAAGTTTATATGTAAAAAAAAAATAAATTCGGAAATGGACCGGGGACTGTCTTATTCGGTAAAATCATATTTTTGAATCGATTTGCTTGAAATTTTGTGCAGAGGTGGCTTTTTGCTTAGATTAACAAGAAGTGCACCAGAGATCAATTACTTGAAATTCGGCACACAGACAATTTTTTACGAAAATACACCAATAAAAGTATAAACCTGCAATATGATCTATCTGATAAAGTGTTTTCACCTCAATTAATGGAAATGGGGAACGAAAACATGCCAATTGACCGGACTTCAGGGCAGATTATATTAGAAGAATTGTTTCAAGAGTATACCCAAATATCCCAATAAATTATAGGGATCATGGGTGAAGAAGTAACACTTTCGTTCCTCGAATCCCTATCATTCCCTGTGTGGAACGGCGAAACGTTGGAGGATACAACTGATGATGTGCACAAATAATAAAAAAAATTTTAACAGTAAACATATAGAAAGGAGGGAACTTTTGCATTATGTATTTGGGATCACAAATGCCTTAGCTCTAGGTATTACATCTGGCACCCCCGTCGATTACTAGATATAAAGATTCTTCTAAAGTAATTTAAGACTTTTTGCACTTTTCTTTTGTACACCAAAATGGGAGTTAAAATTCTAAAATATTTTTTCAACTAATATCTTGTAAGAATTAGAGGCATAGGAGGGCAAATAAATTTTCTTGGCAGTTCCTGAGTGCGAGTGTGTACAAAAGTTCTCTAATTACCAAAAAACATTCAAAAAGTTATTTCAAGGTATGATCAGCATTTGCTATCAGAGGCATAATCGAATTCGTGCCACGAAGAATGTCCCAGTGGATGTCTTACGATTACGAATTAGTAGCTTAGGCTGTGGTGGGTCGGGTTGACCCATGAAAGAGGTGTCGCGCGTTATCAATAAAAAATAGTAAGAATTAAAATCTCAAGTGGGTTAATAAATTTTGTTTACTAAATACAAGAAAGCAGCCCGTAGCAGGAGACATAAAAAACATAAATGTTTTGAAACCACAAAATGCATACACAACACTGTTCGAACTAAAATCACTGAACGCCAACAAACTTGTTTGAGGCCAACACTTTTGCACTAATGAATTCTCAGATTTCAATGCAAACCAACAATTGTTGCTGTTGCTCATGCTTTGTGCTCACATTCGTTGGTTATGTTATCTCGCTGTCGCATTGCCTGTCATTTGCCTGTTGTTGTCATTATTTTGTTGGCATTACGGTTGTTGTGTTTCTTATTTGGCGGCACGCAAACACTTGTTGCAGATTTACTCTTTCTATGCATACCTTTTTCTTGTTCTTCTTCTTCTTCTTCGACTACTACCACGACTTCCACTTCTTCCACCAACTGCCAGTTTTTCTTCGTTTTATGCTTTATTGAGGCCATATAAAATGGCAGACTACTTACCGGTGCACACAAGAGTTAGTTGTTGTTGTTGTTATTTGGTCTCTCGTCACTGTTTGCAAAGTGGGAAGTGCGAAGTAGTGCTGGGGGTGGTGGGTGGTAATGACGTTAAGTTGTAATGTTGCGGTGCCGTCCGTTGAAATACTCCATGCGCGCAGTCAGTGGGTAAGAATGTGTGAGTAATGCTGAGAGAATGAGTAAATACACGAGAGGGTAAGGCGGAAGTGCAATTTTTAACGCCGAGCATATTAAAAGAATGCATTTTATCTTCCAGACCTGTTGGAAGTGTGTGGCTGGCGGGGGGTTAGCAAGTCAGCAATGCTCGCTTAAAGGCAACAAATTCACTTGATAATAGGATACATTGCCACTGCCGGATGGGCTAAGTCAGGATAACAAACAACCTTGCTGATTGCTTGTTGAATGATGAGCGGTATTGGAGATACAAAAAAGACAAAACAAATAAATTATAAACAATATTGTTGGTGTTGTTGTGTTAATTAGAAGCAAATAAAATCTATACAAAAGTATTAGTGAAAATAAAAATATAAAAATTATAGTTTAATTAAAAATATAAAGACAATAAAAATAATTTTTCAATTTTTATTATAATTAATTAACTAGTAATTAGTAAAAAGAAAAGCACAATAATGACACAAACGTGGTTATAAAAATATACATACGATTGTATGTATGTGCATAAATAGTTGTAAATATTTAAGTGGAATAATTAAGCACGTAAAAACCCATCACATGTTTTCTAATAAATATTTGCAGTTATATGTATATATATACAGGGGGCTTCATCTTTATGTCGGTATGAATAACTTTCACATTTATCAACCGAGCGATTGCGTCAGATATGTTTTGGAAACATGGTTCGCTTCACAGCGAAACAACGAGCTGAAATAGTGACACTTTCCATCGAAAAAAGTCGTTCCAATGTGTTAACTCAACGTGAAGCTCGGAAAAAATAACGCGGCCAAAAAGGCACTATCTGACAGATCAACTGATTTTACCCTACCGGACATCTCTTTTTGTGGGGTTATCTGAAAAGCCAGGTTTCCGCTAACCAGCCTCTAACTATTGATGATCTCAAGGCAAATATTCATGCTGAAATCGACGCCATAACACCCGAGACGCTGGAAAAGGTAATGGCAAATGCAGAAAAAAGGAGTCATTTTGCAATTTCTAATAACGGTAGTCACTTGTTTGATATTGTTTTCAAAAACTAATCCAAAATTTTCAAGAACCAAACTAAATAAAAATACAACACTTATAGAAATCGATTGTTTTTGCTCAAACTTATTCAATATTTACATACCGACATAAAAGATGGAACACCCTGTATATACATACATACATATGTATGTAAATAAAGAAGTAAAATGTATAAGCAAATATGTTTATTCTTTATTTTTATCTTTTTTTTCAGCAGTATTTTGATCGGAGCGTAGCGATTTTCTGCAAAAATGCACGTTCATTTAATTCTCACTTCAAACTTGATTTATTATTATTTATTATATTCAAAGCAAGCGCCTTGTCGTACCTCACTGAGTTTCTTTGTGGAATTCACAGCCAACGTGACAAGGTATGTTACTTTTTTAACCCAAAAAAAAAAATAAAATAAAATAAAAAAAAAATAAAAAATAAAAACAAATAAATACAATTTGGATAGAATTAGCTAGAAAGCTTTATTTTTAACATTATTATTTTTTCTTAAATATTAGTGATTTTTTTTTTTTAAATTGAAAAATATAAAATTAAAATAAATTAAATTATTGAATTATAAATTTAGTGACCATTTCATATTAACTATTTAATTATATTTATTTATTATTTTAATTATAAATATTATCCGTTACTGACTGCTATATTTTGACTAGTATATTTGCCAGTGTAAAAATACATTAATAAATATATACATATGTACGTACATATAATAGTGTTTAATTTACTTGAAATCTTTTATTATTGTTATTGTTTAACTCATTTTAAAACTTATGTACTATGTCTAGGTCCTCTTATGTTGGCAGTGATTCTCGCCAGGGCCGCAGTCACTAATGCCGTCTTACTACGAGCTTTTTCAATGAGCACCTTAAAGTTTAGCCTCGCATCGATCATTCCTTCAAGGGACCTCAGTGAGTTTGGCGTTGTGACGCTATGGCCATCGATATCCAGGGTGACCCCTTAAAATTTTTTCCCGCTTCTGTGTTTTCTCCAGCAAGCTGTAGCCCAGATGTTGTGAGTCAATCCTTAACTTGCTATGACCTCACTGCAGGTGCTCTGAATTTGGGTAAGCTCTTTCTCAGCAATCGGCACAGCCATGTCGTCCACCAAATAAGCCGAAAAAGAATCAAGCGGTTGGTGCCTGGTACTTACGGTAAAGTCCAATGAAAGGGGTTGTAGCCTAAGGGCAGTGAGTGGGCACTGGTCTCCATTGAAGATGACCAGGAAGTTTTTGTTATGTTTTTGGTAGGATTGGCAAGGAACCATCCACTTTGAGCTGCTCGCCTATAGCTAAACTCTAAGTTTGAATCTGTAGTGCTGACTGGATTGCCTGAAAGAAGCCCAAATTTGGCTCAAAGGAGGGAAATTGTGTGTCGAGACAACGTGAGAGCACACATTTTGACAGTGACTAGCCAGAAGCTACGAAAGCTTGGTCCGGACTTCTCGCCAAGTGATTACTATCTGTTTACTATCTGTTTACGTCTGTGGTAAGTAATTTGGCTGGTTTAAAAATTGATTGTCCCAATTTTTGGCCAATAAAGATGGTTTTATGAGGGAAGTGGAAAGACATTACCTTCAAGGAACTAAATCGGATATCTCGAACTATGGTAAATACGGCTTGCAATTTAATGCAAAAATAATGGATTACTTTATACTTGATCTCATATTGTTTAATTATTCTAAATAAATTTAAGTGTGTTAATGTTCCATTGATTAAACAAAAGAAATTAATTAATTAATTTTAATAAGAAGATTTGATTGTTCAATGGGGACAGGGTCTTCAGGTCTTGTCATTTTATTTTGATTTTAACTAAAATATTTATCCATTTTCATATTTTTTGAAGCTATGATTCTTTAATCGGTTAATCATGGTTAAAATTTCGCTTCGAATTCATTAAAATTTTTCTCTCCCCTCGCCTTCTTTAAAAACAAAGGTATCTCCAAAAGAAATAATTTATTATCTCCACATCAAAAATACATTTCGCTGTAAA